TAATCTCAACCGGCTTCGGGCTTCCGGAAAGGCTTGGTGATTTGGCACCCAAGAAGTTCTTATACATTCGTCCATCCTTGTAGTTTCCCTTTCCTGGCCCATTCCTTCATTCTCCTTGAGTCCCCACTTGACTCACTTGGCAACTGTAGTTCCCTTCCTCTGATTGCTTGGGAATCAACTAGGGTTGTTCTATGGGAATGGTAGGTTCGTCCCTATTTTCGTGCAACATCTGCCTCATTTCCTCCCTTTGTTCAGCCATCATAGCCCGAATCATGGTTTGTACTCCAGCCATGGTGATTGGCTTGGGTGCAACTTCTACTATGACTGGTATTGGCTATATCACTAGGGGCTGATCTCGGTTCCCATTTGCATTCACGTTTCTGCTACGGGTCCTTGTCATCTTGATCTATAAACCGAATAAGGTGAATCTAGATCTTTATTTAGGATTGACATTTAAATCATCCTTATCACTACGAAACGTTTATATGCTAGTTCTAATATCGTAGTTAAACGCTTAGAATCCTAAACACATAAGGTTTCCAGATCCGATCGACAATAGACCATAGATCCGAACAAATAACAGAATATCAGGCACAAGCATTTAGCACATAAAAGCATGTTAGGCATTTTCCCTAAATAAGCTAGTGCTTGTGTCTATTCAGGTGTATTACCTAAGATTAGCATTTTAAGTTTAAGTCTAGAAATAAATCCATATTCCTAGTTCGTGTAAACTAATGCTCTGATACCAACTGTGACATCCCAAATTTCACGACCAGAAAAAACCGATTTTTATTTATGCTTTACAAAAGTCAGAGTATCTCTTTTAATAAAAACGTTGCAAAATTTGTTCCTAGGAAAACATGATAATTTCATTATCAAAGCATTCCCGAAGAAATGTATTTTTATTCATTTTAAAACATTTGGGATGTTGTTGTCAATACATAAACATAAGCATTAACGGAACTTACATTCATTTACACTAGTGATCTACATCTCTTTTAAATCTCTCAGTGTAATGTGACGGTATATCAACACCTGAGATATAAATAAGCTGAGTGGGTTAGGTTGGGAAACCTGGTGAGTACATAGGGATTTCAATCCCACAATGTTATAACACATATATAAAAGCTTACACAATATACGATTTCCCCATATATATAATCACCTCTTACCCCACCCCATCATTCCTCACAACGAGACTATCCATACTCACCGACCTTACTTTTTACCTCCTACTCCGGATCTAATCCATGCTCTCGAGTCCTTGTTTATACCTATTCCATACTCTCGGATGAGGGACAATTGGTCTCTGTCTAAATCCATTCTCTCAGATTAATAACAGATGACTATGTCTTGTACATACTCCCAAACTAAGGACAACTGACTATGTCTTAATCCATACTCCTGGATTAAGGACATCTGACTATGTCTTAATCCATACACCTGAATTAACGACAGTTGACTGAGTCCAATCCATACTCTCGGACTAGGGACGAATAACTATGTCTAATCCGTGCTTCTGGATCAATGACATGTTTAAGGGTTCTATTCCCCGTATATATCTCACTCGTACTCATAAGGAGATACTACCCAATGACCCTCATAACAAATTTTAGGTTTACACATTACCCTAAATCATTATAAATAACTAGGTATGTTCTTTAACATGTAATTCAGACAACATCAAATAATTCGCACATAAACATATATTTAATACATTCAATCAATACTTGTATTAAAATAATGTTCATGAAAGGGACTGTGCACTCACCTGAAAAAGGTGGTGATTCTGCCTTCGAACAACGCTTCATTATCTCAAAACAATTATCCCTCGATAAAACCTAGTATCAATATCACTAGGGTTTAGTCTAACGTTAACCGCGACTAACTAATAGTCTAACTATTATTATTATTATATAAGTGTTAAACAACACTCTATATAACTCAAAATAATATCCCAAATAATTATTTTAAGGACCTAATAACATTACTATAATTATTTAAAAGTTATATTAAAAATTGCGTAGGCGTAGCTCACTTACAGCAGGTTTTAAAGAAAACCAGGCCATGCTCGGAGCAGCGTTTCCGAACCGAAAGACCCTTTTTCATGGGACTCTGGTAGCCTCGGGGCTTCCTTCGAGTGCTAGGGGTTCACCTAGACTTTAGGGAGGGTTTGGAACCCTAGAGAGAGAAGAAGATTAGGTGTGAAAAATCTGAGAGAATTCGCAGCTATTTATAGGCTGTTGGCTTCGGACTACGCTGGGCGTAGCCTTCGGTTATGTTGGGCGTAACTCCGGATAAGACTGCCAACCTCGATCCAGCTGTCTCGCACATGCATCGGATGACAAGGAGCGAAGGTACATTGGGCGTATCAACTTCGGATGCGGGGGGTAGGCGAGGAGCGACGTGTCCGAATCCATGGCGACCTCTGATCTACGATGGACGTTCTAGATCACTGCCACGTCATTGATTATTCATCAGGTCTCGCAATTTCACGCTTCAACTTTAAAAATTCGTAACTTTCACGTACGAGCTCCGTTTTTGACGTTCTTTATATCCACGCGACGGTGGGAACGTACTGTACAACTTTCGTTTAGACTCTGTCGGCTAATTTTGAATTTATTTTAAAAGTTATACTTTTTAACAGGCCGGGACATGATTGGTCCGTTAAAAATTCATAACTTCTTCATCCGACGTCCGTTTTTGTCTGTCTTATTATCTCTGTGCTACTATTAATGAGATCTTCGATTCTCGTTTAGGTTGTATCGGCTAAAAAACCGCTTGATCTAATATTCGAACTTCGGGTTGTACACTGCAAAGCTGAAACTTCGAAAAATCATAACTTACTCATAGAAAGTTAGATTTGGGCGTTCTTTTTATGGGCACTCTCGATTTAATGAATTCTACGACTATAGTTTAGATCGCTAAGGCTAAATATTGCTCTATCGTAAATTCACTATTTACGCTTCCCGGTGTCGTGCCTGTCTCGTCTCGAAACTTCGATGGGTCATAACTTCTTCGTTATAACTCAGATTTCGGCGTTCTTTATATGTACAGAAACTTTGTAACATATAATACAACTTGGTTAAGATTATATATTCTAAATAATCTTTTGTCGAAAAGTCATTTTGACACTTATTGCCTCTAAATTGACTAGCTCGGATCTGCGGGTGTTACAATTAGCGCCCCCTTAGGATGATTACGTCCCAGAATCGTCAACGCAACTGGACTTGTATAATAACTCAATATGTAATCTCTTCATCCTAGGTAATAATTATAACTTCTATATTCCTTGAAGTCTATCTCTTAGACTTATTGACTGCAAACATTACTCGATCGTGCACCTGCTTTCTATCTCAGGTTAGACTCCAAATTATGACCTACCATCATGTGATGCACGTTTAGACTCAGGTCTCTTAGAGTTAAATTCCAGAACAGACTATACCTTCCTTCATGTTCTAATGTGATATAATCACATTTTAAAAGGTATCATTCCTAGCTATAAGCAACTATCGCGATACCTCTATTGATCGCTTTGATTAATTTCTCTGGCTTGAGTCAGGTGCTACATCAGACTTGGTTCTTTGAACCATGTAACATACTCATGTTAGTCGGACTCAATTCGATATGAGCACTAGGGTCGGAATAACAATAATCTCCTTAATCATTACCGAAACGATGGTAACGACCTACTTGAATAAAACGAAATCGATCACTAGTTTCTTGATAACCTTGTGACTTTCCCTGATCCAAGTGCGCGTCCTGTGCTTCCAGTAGTATAGGCCTCTACTACCTTTCACACCTAGTCATACTCGTCTCAAGTACTGTCTCCCAGTTTTATCCAAGTCACCATGTAGGAAAATCACACAACAACTTAACACATCAAATATCAAAACAAAGGTTTTATATTATTCCTTGAAATGATTACATAGGTGTTCAAGTTCACCCAAGACTATGTCTCTAACAGGCTACATCACATGGTACTATCTACATGACTACCACATTATAGCAGACTTCTCTCTTGGTTGTGCATTCGCTGGCGTAATGACCAGTCTTTCTGCATTTAAAGCAGGTCATCTCTTTAGGGCATTTCCCAATGTGCTTCTTCTGCACTTGTCACACCATTGCGTTCCTTCTTCGAATTTCTTTGAACCAGACTTTGTTATAACTTGGATTTCGGCGTTCTTTATTTGTACGGAAACCTTAACATATACTACAACTTTTTTAAGATTATTTATTCTAAATAATCTTTTCTCAAAAAGTCATTTTGACATTTATTGCCTCTAAATTGATTAGCCCGGATCTGCGGGCGTGACAAGTGTTTAATTTTTTGGGATTTCATTTTCCTCCATAGACAGAATGTGCCTTCCTAAAAATATAAAACGACAAATTTACATGACACGCTTTTTAAGATAGGTTCCCTCCATGTTTTTTTTGGACACTAATTTTAGGGCACGCAAAAATGCATGTCCTCTATCCTTCAAATTTTACAGAACTGACGTTATTTTTAGGACACACAAAATATGGGTATCATAAATCTATGTGTGTCATTGTTCGCGTGTTATTAAAGGGATGTTTTCTAGTATAGTTGCAAATTAATGGAAGTAAATAAACTATACATAAGTGTTACAAAAAAAATATATTATCTGTGTTTTATTTTAAAAAAGGACATCATCATAACCTTAAATTCAGTATCGTCTTTTTCTTATTTATTTTCAAAATACATCAAATCATATTTAACCAACAATAAAACATTTCACTTAAACTCAAAAGAAATCAAACGAGTACGTATATTTTGAAAATGAGGAATTACGTTACTTTTTTAAAATGCCATATGTTGTTCTTAACATACACGCAATATAATATATTAAACAACAAGTAAAGTCTAAAAGAACATTTTATTTACATTTATTAGATTGTTTTATACATTCTTTTCACCCTTCAAGAATTAGAAAAATATGCCCTTCTCATTAACGTGTCGTTCTACTATGACTTTTTCATCACTTATGGGTAGACACATGCCCTGAAAGTTGCATAAAACATCACAAAAATAGATTCAATCGCGTACATCAATCACCCAACCTTTGATGTGGCATAGTAGTTCTTGAGTAAATATTCGAAAAGAAAAAGAAACTTACATGCATCTGTGACGGCAGGAGTAGCATAACTAATATCACATACACCATTAATTTGAAAGTTATGATCAATAGCATAAGACACATGATTTTGCACAATGTTAGGGTTAAAGCATGATCCCCTAGGTTGAATCTCCTTGCGGTTGATTTCTCCACAAAGATAGTCAAGAACTTGTTGCAACTTCGCTTCGGCGGCTTGGCTTTGAGCTACACACCAAATTTTCCCCTATCCATTAACTTAACAACAAAAGCAAAAGAATCATAATCCCATCAAATATTAGCATAATATTTTACAATCTAAATTAATTATTAAGTTGTTAGTACACTAATAATGAGTTTTTTGATAAATATATCTTACTTGCACGGACTGTAGACGTGGAATTTATAAAACTAGTGCTACCTTATGGTTATTAGTTTAGGTTTTATATCTTGTGGATTTAGTAAAAATATAAAATAGGGCACCATTAAGTATGATCAACATAACAAAGTATTGGTGATCAAGCTTTATTGTTATTGATTAGGATGTTTAAGCTCGTTTGGATTCGTTTATTCTTTTTTACTTTTTATATGTTTGATTATGTTCATATATGTACACTTGTGTTTATTTTTCTTCATTTGTGGATGATAATTTGTGTTATTTTGATTACCGAAAATAAAGAAGATGAACACAAGCTTTACTGTTATTGGCTTAATGCGCCTCTCTGTCCCAGCCACGACTGCAAACCCTTCCCCCTCCTTTTCTTTGACCAAAGCAACCCCATACACTTACCTGTTGGACAATAAACTACCACTCTCAGCCCCCCTCTGTTATTCCTTCTTCTCATCCTTCGATTGCTGCCAAGAAAAACCAAGATTCTTCGTGTTTCCTTCTTCCTGCCAATCAATCACACCCAAACATCGTTTCCCTTTATCGATTTCTGTCACAAACAAATCCAAACAATCCATTTGTTTCATTTCTGTTGAAAAAAAAAAGAAGAAAATCAGGGGAACTACCGGAGCATCCCCCATTCACGCACCTGTCACCACCTCTCGCACTTTCCTTTCCCTCTCAGCAGCTCAATCGATCGCCAGTGCGTACCTTCTATCGGAACCCTTTTCTGATTTCTTTCCCCTTCGCAACTCCTTCCAAGACTGAAGATGAGCAGCCCCGCTGCTTCGTTTCTTTCTTCTCGTCCGAGGTCACAGCCGCCTCGCTGCTTCGATCCTTCCCCTTCTTCAGTCTAGTTGAACCCCGGAGGCCGCATCGATTGCGTGTCGTGCACCGAACCATCGTGCTCCCTTCTGGTCTCCGATTGCCCCTTCGCGTCTATGATGGACTGCCTTTGTTCATCTGTTCCTTCGTGACTTTCTTTGGGACATATTCATGTCCTTTACCCGATCAAAACAAAAGAGACGGGGGCTTATGAGCCCTAACACCCAGTTCCCGAGTTCAATTTAAAGAGAGAAAAAGAAAGGAAATGGGTAGAAGTGAGAGGAAAGTAAGAGAAATTGGTGTTCCCGAGGTTCATTAAAGGAGGGAAGTCATTTTATGAAATGACTAAAATGCCCCCAATGTTAAAATGTATATTCAAAATAGATCCCAATCCCCAAAAGGTGATTCTATTTATCCACAAACAACCTCTCATTTGGTTACTTTTAACAGAATGAATCCCAATCTTCAAACTTTGAATAAAAATAACCACTTTTAAAGGAATGAATCCCAATCTTTAGTACCCGATAGTTCAATTTTGTTACAAAATGGACCTGCATGTATTTAAAAAATTCAAGAATGATGGGCTTACGGTTTCTCACGTCAAGCTTCTCAAACAAACTGAATCCGAACAACTCGAACTCACGCTTCAAAGGTAAGTTTCTACGGCCTCTCTTTTACAATTTTAATATTCGGTGGAGAATATATGCGTGTCTATTATGTTTTGACAATTTATATATTTTTATACGTTAAAATAGCATCGTACTTTATATTTGGTTGAAAGCTTATGAATTAGTAGTTTAAATTGTAAAAATAGAATAAATTAAAGTAGAATGCTATAAATAATATAAATACACCTTGTTGTAATATATTAATTAATATTAATAAAAATCACAGGATTATATGGAAACTGTTATAATAACATGGGTTAGTATTCTAAATCACAAAAATTAGAATTTTATATGAATCAGTTAAAGTATCAACTGAAAGTCTGAAAAGATATACAAACGACCTAAAATATTATTCGAGTATAATACGAAAGTACATTGTGATGTTTGATGAAAGAACCAAGATTATGAAAATATATAATTAATAGTTAAAATTACTGAAAATTAACTTTTAATGTATATAAATTATGTCGAAATGCATATAAAATTTATTATTATATTTTATATTAAATATAAAAATATAACTCATTCTACTAAGTCATGGATTTTATTGCAACAAATAACTTGATCGACTTTGGAACTTAAGAGTCGTTATTTGCGACATATTACATTGTGTTAATCATGTGAATCATAAATATTATGGAATTGTTGGTTTCATATTGGTTGAAACCTAAAAAATATTATCACAACAGCCGTTATGTTGTCCAAATTTTGTCACGGCATATAATAAACTTTGAAATGTATTAAGTCCTACGAATCTCAAATACCATAAAACTTCTATCAATAATTAATCCTAAATACCAAATAATTATAAGTGTCTGATATCTTATAATGGGATGTTTTAGGATTTGGATGCCTATACATATTGTTAGGATGCATCACATCCACAAGACGTTCTAAATGAGTTATGTTTCTTTCTAAAAGCCTTATGATCTAGGATCATTTCCTAAGGTATGAGTCATGGTGTTTGTGGGTTAGATCTGGTGTGTTTATGTGTGAGAAGATTTACGAAAAGGGCAAAAGAGGGAGTTTTATGATGGGGGTGTTTTTCGTTACCGAGGATTAAAAGTTTTGTAAATCCATATGAGTTAGGTTCATTTCCTAAGCCATTTGGGATATATTGTTAGGTATACAAAGACTGTGTGTCTTGGTGGAAAACCCATTATTTTTCATAACCGTTAATCTGCATGGAACGACTAACGGAAAATATAAGTGTCATATTATTGATCTTATATGGTTAGACCACCCGCCTGGAGTTGCTAGTTACAACTACGTCTGACGAGACGAATTTTAGCATTGACTTTAGCATCATTAAACATTACCACGTGTTATAACGGGGGTGAATGACTTAAGCCTGCCCTACTATGGAGCCCGGGCAAAGAGTGTAGCGTTACGAGTTCGGTTATGAGTTCATTATAAAATCCCAGTTATATTTTGTTACCGTATAGAATCGACATTTGGTTTATATGGGGTTTCCTTCAGTGATACTAGTTGAAAGAGACTCTAGGTAGTGGAATAGTTTGTGACCCAAAATGATAAGTGTCAATACCAGAAGTTAAGTTATACCACACTTAATTAATATCATGACACGAAGGATTAAGGTTTAATAACTTACATCTAATAAGTTATTTATTTAAACCCTTTTTTCTTGTACAAAAACACAATATGTATGTAGGAGGAGTTTGCCCCATTGGTTAAGTGTCAGTTCCCAAATTAAGTAAGATAATACTTAAATAATACCATGACACAATTTTACAAGGTTTATAAATTCGAATTTATGAGTTTTACATATAAACTATAAAAACGCTTGTAGAAGATTTTTATAGTAAAGTTGGTCATTTTATGTTTTCACAAGATGCGATATGACTGTATTTTATATATATACTGACACTCAAAATCCTCATATAAAAAGACATTTTGGTCATGAGAATTGTATAATTTTTATATAAGTTTGACTTACTCATATGTATCTTGTCAAATTTTGAAAATTTGGATTCGAATGCACGATGTTTTTAAATGAGACCAAATACATTTTTATAACTCAATTATCTTATACTTTTGATAGAAAGGTACGTATTTATAAAAGTTGGTCAACCATATTAATTTTATAAAACGATTTTGGTTATAAAAATACTTTGTGTCAAAACCTGTTGAACTCACTAACAATTTTGTTGATGTATTTTAATGCATGTATTCTCAGGTTCTTTAGCCGGTCAGAAGTTTTAGCTCAGAAGACTTTCCGTTATTTATATTATAACTTTGTAAATGTCGGATTGTTAGGCGTGTGTCATGATTTAGCAATAGTCATTATCAATGTAATTTGTATTCCGGTAATAATAGAATATTATATGTGTACTGTTCAATATATGTTTAATAATTGTGATTACTAATTTACGTCGCACACCTAGACGTTTCTGCGAGCGGCCGGGGTGTGACACTAGGTATGATCAACATATCAAAGTGTTGGTGATCAAGTTTTATTGTTATTGATTACGATGTTTCCGCTTGTTTGCATTTGTTTGTTTGTTTACTTTCTATATGTTTGTCTATGTTCACTCATTTTTATTTGTCTTCAATTGTTTATGCTTCTTTATATTAGTTTGATTGAAAAACATAAATAAAGAAGTTGAACACAGTCATTTATGTAAGTTCAAAAACAAGTTGTTAGGAACCGACTTATTATGTCATGTGGGAATTGGTCAATCCCATAAAATGTTTGAGATCCCATTTATTAGAAACCATAGGGTGTGTCATTAGTTCATTAGACAAATAGTTGAGCCAAAATCAATGCCATACTACAAATATTGCGACTTATAGTGCCACCCAGATAATTGGAATAAATTGGACCAAAAACTTATTCTCGCATAAATACCTTCCTTACCATCATAAGTAAAAATAGTTGTAGGCACAAAATAGTGTGGTTAGAATTATTCTATCACATGTTGAGCCTAATTTAGTTAGAGTGGGTTAGATGGTGCTTAATTCGTACTTGCTTTAGATGATTTCATGTCTAAGGGCAATGTCCTTCTTGGGTTCCTAAGGCATCTCCCTAGCTCTTAAAGCATGTATTTATGGTAATTATGAGCTTCTAGAACATAGAAAAATATATCCATATCTTTAGTGCAATCCAAAACTAATAGAGTTCAAATTACATATTTCAAAAAGTATAAAAATCCCAATTTCTTTTTTCATATTTGTTACCTGTTTTTTTAACTAATTAAACCACATACATGACATCGACACAAAAACAAGTGTAGTGAACTACACCTAAGTATGATACAAAAATTATGAGCTAAGAAAATTACACAAAGTTAAGACCATTAATCACCAACCAAAAATGTATCATGTCAAATTATCAATATTATTTATGGCTAAATATTATGGTCTCATCAAAGTGTCTTTAATCTATACCCTTCAAATGCGCTACTAAACACAACCATAAAAAGAAACATAATACATATGTACACAAATATATATATATATATATATACACACACATGTGTGTGTGTGCACGATCATTATTTATATAATATAATATATACTCTAATAATAAATGTGATCGGCCAATGAAAATAAAATAAAACTAAGAAAAGATGATTTTATCAAATTTTCTTTACTTCTAAAATTAATTTGATTTACTAATATAAATTGATTATATTATAAAGGTCTTATTACCGCTTTCAAATGATACCTTAATTTATAAATAAAAATTTCAAGCTTTGTAAATAAGAAGTTGGTTATATCAATGAAAAAGCTTTTTATTTTCTAGAAAAAAAAATTATTCTTTATTTCCTTTTATTCAAATAGATTCTTTAATTTCCTTAGTTTAAGTTTTTTGATTTTTTAATAATAAAAAGTTTAATTGATCTTATGAATTCTACGAAAGATTAATGTGTAATTTGTGTAATGGCGAGTTTACATTATGGTAAGGTGGGTCCTTTGACGCACTTACATTTTCAAAACATACAATAAAATATATACTAAAAATATTATGAACTAGCTTAGAAAATACAAAGGACATACCTTTTAGTATTTGGCAAAAACAGAGAAGGAAAAAATACAGATATTAATACCTTCTTTGTAGTGTTGGACATAAAAAAAAATATAAGGAAAAAAAAAGTATAAAATATTGACAATAAAAAAACATATAATATTTGGTGGCACGAAGGAGTCCCACATTGACTCCAAAAAAAACGGTGAGATGTTTTTCATGATAAAGACATGATTCACTTTTCACTCTTCCACACCATAAAGATTACTGATGTATGATACCGACATTACTATAAGTTTAAGTTGTTTTTTAAGGAATTACCACTGTGGGTTACGTTTTTTCACCGCTAGTTTTTATACAAGTTGAACTCT